CATTTTTGAGATTGTATCCCAGTACAACTTTTCCCACTCTTTTGTTGACTATGAGGGCTACTCCATTTCTTCTACTTGATTCTTGCCCACAGTAGTAGATATGATAATCATTTGAATTGAATTTGCCAATTCCCGTCCATTTTAGTTCACTGACGCCCAGGATGTCAATGTTTATTCTTGTGATCTCCTCTTTGACCACATCCAGCTTACCAAGGTTCATAGATCTTCCATTCCAGGTTCCTATGGAGTATTTTCCTTTGCAGCATGGGACTTTCCTTTCACTTCCAGGCACGTCCACAGCTGAGCGTCCTTTCGTCTTTGACCCAACCACTTCATTAGCTCTGGAGCTACTTGTACTTATCCTCCGCTCTTCCTCAGTAGCATGTTGGACGCCTTCCTTCCTGAGGGGCTCATCTTCCAGTGTCATATCTTTTAGCCTTTTGTTTCTTTCTATGGAGTTTCCTTGGGAAAGATACAGGAGTGGCTTGCCAGTTCCTGCTCCATGTGGATCGCATATAGTCAGAACTCTCCACTATGACCTGTTCGTCTTGGGTGGCCCTGCACGGCATAGCCCATAGCATCCCTGAATAACTCAAGCCCCTTCGCCATGACAAGGCAGCAATCCATGAAGGGGTGAAATGAACTAGTAGCCAATAAGTCTGTTGTAACAAGGAGTTTCTGTTCTCCTTGTAACCAGCTCTGTTCAAGATTCTAACAGTAGCATCCTGAATGCCCCAAAGTTTCATAATTCTTTCTAAAGGTAGCCCCACATGAAGCAAGTTACAGCAATCCAGAAGGAATGTAACTAAGGTATGTGTCACTGTGACCAGATCAGACTTTTCAAAGAATGGGTGGTACACTAGTTTCAACTGCAAACACATCGCTGGCCACCACCAAGACTTGGGTGTTCTAGCTCAGGGATGAATCCAGGAGCACACCCAGATTGACAACCTAATGACCATTGTAGGAACTTTAGGGATTGGATTTGCAATAGATTATGCTTCTGAACCCCTAAAACTTCCATTTCTATAAGCTTTTGGTTATTCTATATTTCTCATCTTCTCTCTGCAGTATATTGAGTGCTTCCTGCAAAGTACTTTCTAGCAGACCAATGCAGCCGTCAAAGAATAAAAAAGCAGAATATTTGGAAACTTTCTGTAGGCCTTCTTCAGCTGTCCAGAAGACCAGTGCTGAGATCATAAATGAAGCACGAAATACCCTAAGGACCTTGAGAACCCAAAGACCATTTACGCCAAGAGAAGAACAAAGGAAACTTTTTGGATCTGGTTCATCAAGAGCACCTGAAAATAGGCCACCTTCCACTTTCAGGTATGGATATGGGGAGAGGAGATATAACTGCAGCATTCTCTGCAAATACAGAATAAACTGCATTTTGAGTGTTCATAACCACTCATGATTCAAGATGATCTGAGAAGTTCCAAAGACAGGTAATACAAATGTTCACCTTTTTCAACGGCATAAATCTGCTGTATGGCTGTAGCTGGTGAAAAGTAAAGCTAAAAATAGTTGAAGTGTTTCTGACAATTTTTCAAAAGAAAAGACATGTTCATTGTCAGCCCAAAACTATTATTAGTTTTTTGTGTAGGAAGGTGAAGTTCTCTGATTTGCTATCTGGATGTCTCATCTTCTGTTTTTGTAGATTTCATAATTACCAAAGGAATTACTTCTGTAGGTGAAGCATTATTTCAGTATGCTTGCCATTCTAGCTGTTTGGTAACAGAGCCATAGGGGATCTAGAAAAGGGCAATGTTAATTGTTATATCTGCCAAATAGGCTGGATACCAAGAATTAACTCTGACCCCTTTGGCTTCCTTTTTGACCTTCCATTTAAATTTTGTTTTGCAGTTTGGCAAAGATCTTTTGTATTTCATCAAACAATTTGGCAAAGGCAATATTTTACTATGTTAGTGTAGATGGTGGAGTTACTTCTTGTAAATTTGTGTATTAATTACATAATATGTAATTACATAACATGTCTGCTTTTCATTTCAGTCTCCATGCTTCCAGCTTTGAATCAATTGAATCAAGACCTGTGTCTTGTGCACGCCTCAGCCCACTGGACCATGTGCGTATTTTCTGTTGACACAGATTTCTCTTTTCTCTTCTTAATCAAACTTCAGAGTTAAAAAAGAGACATTCTACAACTCATGTACATTATACAGTTTGGTACTTAAGCCAGCCTTTAACAATAAAATCTTATTCATAGAATCATAGAACTGTAAATCTGATACGTGGCCATCTAACCCATTTGAAAACCTTCAGTGAAGCAGAGTCCATGGCTCTCAGAGGCAGTGTGTTCCACACTGAACAGCTTTTACTGTCAATATATTCTTCCTAATGTTTAGGTAATATCTCCTTTCTTGAAATTTGAATCCATTATTTAGGGTCCTGCCATCTGAGCTGAAGAAAACAGGCTTGCTCCCTCTTCTATGTGACAGCATTTCAAATATTTGAAGATGGTTATTATACTGCCTTTCAGTCTTTTTTTGTCCCAGCTAAACATGCCAAGATCTTTCAACAGGTCCTTTATGGGGCTAATTTCCCCACCTTATACCATTCTCATCACCCTCTTTGGGCATGTTTCAGCATATTGATATTCTTCTTATATTGTGGTGTCCAGTGTTGTCCAGAATTTGGTATAGTAATTCAGGAGAGGTCTGACCAAAGCAGAGTGAAGTGGAGCTGTTACCTCCCTTGATATACACACGATACATATGCTTATACAACCAAATATTGAAGCTTTTTTTTCACTGCTGCATCACAGTGCTGACTCATGTTAAAGTTTACTAAGACTCCTAGATCCTTTTCGTACGTACTGTGTACTGCTGCCAAGCCAGCAGTCACCCATTTTATATTTGTGTACTGTATTTGGTTTTCCCTACATAAATGTAGAACTTTACATTTTTTTCTGTTTAAACTTTTGTTTGTTTTGTCCCAGTTCTCCAATATGTTTTGGTTTTCTTGACTCCTGATTTGGTCTTCTGAAGTATAAGCTACTTTTCCAATTTGGTGCCATTTGCAGGTTTGATGAGCACTCCCTTCACACCCTCACCTAAGTCATTAATAAAGATGTTGAGCAACAGTGGGTCCAGGGCAGAATCCTCCGGCACCCCATCTGTCACTTCTCTCCAGGTGGGCAAGGAGATATTAATGAGAACTCTTTTAGTATGGCTTGCCAGCCACTACAAAACCACATAACAGTAGCATTGTCTAGCCCACATTTTACTAACTTGCCCACTAGAGTGCCTTGTCAAAAGCCTTGCTGAAATCAAGATAGACCATGTCTACAGCATTCCCCTCATACCAAATTTGTGACTGTGTTAGAAGAAGGTAAAGATTACTCTGGCCTGACTTCTTTTTGAGAAATACGTACTGGATCTTAGAAATCACAATATTATTTTCTAAGTACTCACAGTCTGGTTGTTTAATTATGTGTTCTAGAACCTTTCCTAGTATTGACGTCAAGCTGACTGGTCAATAGTTGCCTGGATTTTCTTTCATTTTAGAGACAAAGATAATATTTGCTTGCCTCCAGTCTTTAGGGACCCAACCTGTTCTTCAAGAATTCTCCAAGGTTATATCTGCAGTATCCTGTAATACCCTGGGAGGCAGTTTCACAGTCCCAGGAGATTTAATTCACTTAAAGGTGTTGTATGTTTTTGTACCACCTCTTTGCCTATCTTGAGGTGCAGTCCTCTTGTTTCTTTATTCTACCTATGTTAGGTTGAGCACAATTTTCTTTTCTGAAGAAGCTGGAGGTGATGCAGATATCCATCCATTCTGCCTTTCCCCTGTCCCCCATTAGTATTTTTCCATGGACTTCTAGCAGCAGATCTACTCATTTGTTGTTCTTCCTTTTGATTCAAGTATACCTGAAAAAAACCTTTTGTTGTTTTTAACCTCTCTTGTAAACCTGAGTTTATTTTGAGCTTTTGCCTTCCAAACCTCTCTTACAGTTATAGGCTACTCATTTGTATTCTTCCTTGGTGATTTGCTCCTCCTTAAACATGCCCCTGTAAAATCTTAGTTCATTATGCAATTGCTCTGGTTTCTTCAGGTGTCTCCCACTTTTTGTTCTCACAGGATATGTTTGTGATTGCACCTTTTGTATCCTGTCTTTTTGAACTCCCCCACTCACTTCTTTTTGAGTATTTCTGACAATGGGATTTTATTCAGTCACTGAAGTCTAGTAATAAGTCACAGCTAGAGTAGAGCCATCTACTGCAGTAAGGATTTGGTGAGTTAGCTCCTCCATAAGTTCCATTGATTCAGTGGGCTTATTCTAGTTGCAACTTATTACTTGATTTTAGCTGGTATTTTTTAAAATTAGCTTTTAAAAATTTCACAATATTCATTATTCTATTTTTCAACTTTCCTTTTTAATAATCGTGGAACTGCAGAGCTGGAAAGCACCCTATGGATAATTGAGTCCAACCTCTGTCACAGAGGGGAATTGAACTCCCAACCTCTGGCTCCACAGCTTTTTTCTCAGTATTAGAAAAGGATGTGGTTTCTTACCTGTTGAATAGCTCAGTGGTTTAAATATCTAGCTGTTGGGAGTTTGATTACCCACTGTGTTTCTCTGACAGGGGTTGGACTTGATGATCTATAGAATACCTTCCAGCTCTGCAGTTCTAACATTATAACATTATTATACCACCAGTCAAAGTTCCTACTGTTTCCATCTCATTGATCAATTCTTCCACATTAGTTAAGAAAAAGACCCAAAACAATTGATTCTTTTGTTGCTCCCTCTACTTTCTGGTGGATGAAGTTGCCTACAACACAAGTGAGGAACTTGTTGGACCTTAAAGTTGTGACAGAATTGGACTTCCAACAGTTACCAGGGTAGTTGAAGTCTCCTATTATTACCGTGTCTTTCCTCTGATCTGATCTTGGAAGGCATTATCCAGATCCTCAGTCCGGTTTAGAGACCTGTAGCAGCATCCCCACTCTGATGTCACTGTTTTTTATTTATTTACCCAAATGTTCTCCGCCCAAATTCTATGCTGCAGCTCATGGATCTGCTCAGAGTTCTATGCATTCTTTGCACACAGTGCTATTCCTCCTTCCCTCCTGTTTCATCTGTTTATTTTATTTATTTAGAATATATATACCCCATCTTTCTTCTTAAGAAGGACCCAAGGTGGCTTACATAAATTTCTTAAATTATGTAAAAGGCAATATTTAATTATTATTAATTAAATTATTATTAAAAGGCAATAATACAGTGGTGCCCTGCATAGCGACGATAATCCATTCCAAAAAAAAGTCGTTTAATGCATTCCTATGGGCTGTAAACTCACCGCTATGCGGAAATCCTCCATGTGGCTGCCATTTTCGCTGCCCGGTAAGTGAGGAAAGGGCACAAAAATGCTGTGGCCGGCCATTTTAATTACCCGGCAGCCATTTTGGAACCGCCGATCAGCTGTTCCCAAAACATCGCTACAGTATGTGAAAATCAGTAAGAGAAACGCTTACCGATCATCGCAAAGCAGTGTTTTCCTGTTAGAAACATTGCTATGTGATCGCAAAAAGGATCGCAAAAAACACATCGCTAAGCAGATTCGTTGTTAAACAAATCGTTCATTATGCGGGGCACCACTGTATTTAAAGCTTAAAACAGTAGGTATACAAATACTAAAAAAGATAAAAAAACCCCACACTATTCCTTTTAAATAAGTTTAGATAAGTTTTACCCTTTGGTGATTGCAATCATAAAGCTTTCAGTGGTGGCTGTTAAATCTTATTTGCATTCCTAGGTTGAGAGTTCAAGTTCATGTTGTTTATTTCCCATGTCTGTGCATTGGTGTAGAGGTTTGAGAACATGGGTCTTCCTCTCCTGCTGTTTTGTTGTTCTTTTCTCTCTATCAGTATTCTAGAATACTGTATCTTCTTCCATAGCAAAATTCAGTTTAAAGCTTTCCTGACCAGGAAGGTTGCAAGACTTCTTGCTGACATATTCTTTTCAACCCCTGTAATGTGCAACCTATAATTTGCTTCGTCTTTCATGGAAGTACATATCATGGTCAAAGACACTAAATCTCTCAGTGCGATCTGTAGACTTCCAGCACACTTGTGTCTCTTCTCGGGCCACAACCTTCAACAGGAGGGAGTGAGGAAAAACCAACTGAGCTCCTCCACCTTCCTACCAGACCCTTGTAGTTGCTTTCAATAAGTTGAAAGATGTGTCTGGATTTATTCTCATGAAGAAAAGAAAAGAATCATGACTTGGTGAATCTTGGCAAACTCTGTCATGTTCCGGATTTTTTTTTATAAAGGAGGCAGCACACCTCCCAAGACCATTCTCTCATGTTCACAAACAGCTACTTCTGAGTCCCTCTGTAGAAAATCACTAGCTACTTCTCTATCCCCTGAGATTTCTTCAAGCATTTCCTATTTATTTATTTAATTTAATTTAATTTAATTTATACCCCACCTATCTAGTCATTGCAACCACTCTAGGCAGCTTCCAGACAATATAAAGAAAACATATACATATACCAAGATAAGGAAAAAAAACAATAAAAAAGAATAAGCCATAAACAGTAGACAAATTCTTCAAGATGGAAAAGTAACAGAGAATAAGTAAAGAAGAAAGAAATTAAGTATTGACTGGAGGGAAGGCCTTCTTGAACATCCAGGTTTTTAATTGGGTCTTAAAAATGCCCAGCGACAGGGCCGCCCGAATCTCTGGAGGGAGGTTGTTCCAGAGGCGAGGGGCCACCACCAAGAAGGCCCAATTTCTTTCTTTTTTTCCTTTCGGGCCTCCCTCGGCGTCAGGCCCCTCAGCCTCACCTCCTGACTTGATCGAGTGATACGGGTGGATCTTGGTTGGAGTAGCCGTTCTGTCAGATAACAAGGTCCTAATCCATTTAGGGCTTTATATGTAAGCATCAACACTTTGAAGTCGATGTGAAACCTAATGGGCAGCCAATGCAAGGCGGACAGAGTGGGTGAGATATGCTGGTATTTTCTCACACCACTAAGGAGTCTGGCCGCCGCATTTTGCACCACTTGGAGCTTCCACATCAGCCTCAAAGGTGGCCCATGTAGAGCACATTACAGTGGTCTGATCTTGAGATTATGAGCGCATGCACCAAGGTAGTGAGCGCCCCGACATCGAGATAGGGTTGCAGCTGGGCTATCCACCGGAGATGAAAGAAGGCAGTACAGACCACTGATGCCACCTGAGTTTCCATAGTGAATGTCGGGTCCAGATGGATCCCCAAGCTGCGGACCCCACTCTTGGCGGCAAGAGTCACCCCCCTAAAGGAGAGAGAGTTCCCCAAACCACCTACTGTGGGGGCGCCCATCCTCAGTACCTCCGTCTTGTCCGGGTTCGGTCTCAATCCATTTCCCTGCATCCATTGCAGTACAGCCTCCAGGCAGCGCTGAAGGGACAGAAGGACATCTCCTGCAGTTGGAGAAAAGGAGATGTAGAGCTGGGTGTCATCAGCATACTGATGACATGATGCCCCACACCCCCTGATGACCCCACCCAGCGGACTCATATAGATGTTAAACAACATTGGGGAGATAATCGACTTCTGTGGAACCCCACAATTGAGACTCCACGGGGCCGAAACACTCTCCCCAAGATGTACTCTCTGGGGGGCGGTCCTCCAAGAAGGAACGGAGCCAGGCCAGTGCCAGGCCACCAATTCCCAGCTCAGAGAGCCTCCCCAGGAGGATACAGTGGTTGATGGTATCAAAGGCCACTGAGATGTCGAGGAGGACCAACAGAGACACTTTGCTCCTGTCAGCCTCCCTCAACAGGTCATCGTACAGGGTGACCAATGCCATTTCTGTACTGTGGCGCGGCCTGAAGCCCGACTGAAATGGGTCCATGTCGTCTGTTTCATCCTCCTTTTTTTGGCAAAAGTCCACAGTCATATGCACTAAAAACTTGTTTTTGTTATTTTAATTTTGTTTAGGAAAATGACATTCTTAGCATGTTGAATTTTGTGCCTACTGCCATTGTTGAGTGATGCAATTCTGTTGAACTGAACTAAAACATGCACAACAGGGCTGTACTGCAGCCAAAACTGTGCTCATGACTTGAGGTTCAATCCCAGGTAGCTGGCTCAAGGATGACTCAGCCTTCTGTCCTTCCGAGGTCGGTAAAATGAGTACCCAGCTTGCTGGGGAGGCAATGTGTAGCCTGCATAATTAACTTGTAAACCGCCCAGAGAGTGTTTGAAGTGCTATGGGACAGTATATAGGCGGCACGCTTTGCTTTTTTTGCTTTCCTAAAGTTTTTGTGTCTACCTCAGGAAACAATGATTTTTCAGTAGTGGTTCTTCTTTGTAAGACCTGGGAAATCACATTTATGGGCTCATCTCTGCCTGTGTAGTTAATTTTCTCAAGATGAGCAAAAGTGTTTTCGGAGGACCCTCCTCCTCTCTAGTGTGAATGCTTAGGTGGGGTTCCATCCAACTCCTTTGACGTTGATAGAGTTTGCACTGCTTTACATTAAATTAGATCTTCTCTTCTGACAGAAACCAAAGCTACTGTTATCTTCTACAAGTGAAGAACATCACATTTCCCCTGTGAAATCATCATTGGACTCAGAAAAGATTAGAAAAGTTAGCAATGCACGTGCACTTTTGTTCAGATCTGCCTCTTACGGAAATCTTCTCCCTGATAAAGCATTTTTCCCCACTGAGAGTAAGAATGTTAACATATTATTTTTTTAAATCAATATACAGTATTTGTTTTTAAAAATCCTTTGAAAATTAAAGTTAGCTTAATGGAAGAATTAAATATAACTCTACAATTAATGGTCAAATGATGTGCAAGCCATGCCAGTGAAAAGTATTTGTTTAAAAATATATTTACTTGTATCCTGAATGATACTTCCATGAATACTAAGAATTCTTCCTTCCATAAAAGACTTTTGATCCATTGGAAGTTGCTTGTGGTAAAAGGGAGAGGGAAACCACTTTTTGTTTAGCATGTAACCTTGTCTAATTATTAGAGCTGCAGGACAGGAAATGTTTCTGCACTTAGTTCAGAAAAAATAGTTCTATGTACAACTAAAGATCTTTTTGAAAAGTTCATGTCTCCTTGGAAAGATCTTTGATGTAAAGCAGCTGGCCTGTGTCCATCCTTTTTATTTAGCTTTCTCTTTGTTTTGGATAGTTCAAGATAGCAGAAGTAATTATTACAATATGAAGAATAATATTTCAAAAATGTCTTTTTCAGATATTCTAAGGACATATGTGTTTGCCTTTTAAAAATCTTAAGTCTTGATTATTGTAGGCAAAAGGCAAAGTTCTGAAGATGAGACTGCTGCAGGTGATATTTCAAGGAGCAGTCACGAAAGTTTCTCACAGAAATTAATTGTTGACTTGAGCTTTAAGGATGAGTGTCTTCCACTCTCTTCTAAAGAGCATTACAGTAAGATAACAGGAGAAAAAGTGTATCACAAAATGACAGGCATATCAACTTCATCTCAACTCAACAGCCAAAGGTCAGTATCTTATATAGCTTTATAATCTTCAGTGCACTTGAGAACACTCTTGAGTGACTTTGGTATTTGTTTCACATACGTCAGTGTGGGAGGTAATACAGAATACAGTAGAATTATACATGCTAGGCAGGCTTCCATTGGAGAAAACAGTCAATATAATAGAAATGCATCCATAAATTGAGTTATATTACTGCACACAGTTAGTGACAAAGTCCAAAGTTATGCATGTTCACACACATATCACACACAGGCATCCTTCAGTCTCAAGAGACTATGGTAACATGCTCTGAATCGAGGAGTGTCCTCTCCAGAGCATGAAGCCCGGGTAAGGTAATATGGAGGACAGGCTGTTACCCAAGCAGCAGATCCCCCCTCTCCACATTGCTGAAATGATCCAATGGAAAGGCAAGAGCCAATACAACTGGTTCCAGCAATGTCGCAGGAGTTGGCAGAACGACACATGCTGCCTTCGGGACTCCAGCTCCGGATTTTGCCTCGAGGTTAACTCCTGAAGCCTTTTCCATGAGTGGATATAGCCACAAGGCAGTGGAGGTTTGAAATCGGAGTTTTCCTTCTCCTAGATGGGCTGCCTTCCAGCCCACTGGAAGGACACTATTGTATCTGTTCCCCGTTTCATCGTGCAGTACAACCAACATTCCATTGAGGGTGTAATACTAAATCGATTCATTTTCTTTACATCTGATGTGAGGTCCTACCTCCCACACCTGCTGTCATTCCACTCCCTTGATTTTTTAAAATTAATTTTCAAATGGGGAAATATATAAATATACCAAACCATGCTGTTTTCATTATGTTCACTCCCACAATCATATTTTAATAGGGAGAGACACTTTTTCACAACATTATGGAATACGTACCGTATTTTTCGCTCCATAAGACGCACCTTTCCATAAGACGCACCAAATTTTTAGGAGAAGAAAACAGGAAAAAAATTATCTGCTTTCTTCTCCTAAAACTTGGTAAGCCTTATGGAGAGGTCCATCTTATGGAACACACCCTAGGGTCCTAGGGTGTGTTCCAGGACCCTTTGGAGCCTCCCCCTGCCTCCCTCGGGGGCCAGAGGGGGTGAAATTGCCAGCTTCTGGGGCTCTTCTGAAGCTTCCCAAGCCTCAAGAGAGTCCCAGAAGCTGGTGATTTCGTGGTTGAGGGCGGACTGAGCTGACACTAGGCCAGCTGAGGCTGTGCTGACTCTAAACTCCTCCCACCTTACACTGTTGGAAATTACTTCAAGCTACACTGACTCTGATCTCAGTTTGTGCTGACATAGCAGCTGTGAGTCTGGGCTGCAAGGGGTTTAGATCTGGAATAGCCCCTCCTCCATTTCTCTCCTCCTTTAGCTCTTCTGCTGGCTGATCTCAGCCAGCACAGCAGTTATGCCAGCAGATCTGAGATCAGCGTGGTGGTGGTGGTATACCAGCATAAGGATAGTTGTGTCAAAGTTTGGTTTGCACTGTAAGTTATGTCACTTCAACAGAATAATTTTTAATATTAAGAATTCCATAAGATTAAAAAATGCATACAGCTTTTGTATTTGCTTTCATCTGCTTGTTTTTTGTATGGCAGCAGGGCTGCAAATTAGTTTTAGTACCCAAGTGAGTACTTCCTTGCAAGGGGTTTGCCATCTACTGTTCTTCATAATTGATTAGAATAAATCTCACACAGAGTGATAATTGTTAAATTTGCAAGCATGCTGAATTAATTAATTTGTGGCTTACTCTGCAGAGTCACTGTTGCTATTAAATATTGACCCTCATCTATACTGGCTTATCTTTATCAACCTTTTCCCACTTTTCCTTGTCAATACTACTTACTAACACTTGATGTTCAAGCATCCTGCAGTTTAAACCGTATTGTTCTATTTTAGCTTCACTGTAGTTACTGAATATAGTTTGGCAAACTCTAATAATGGTAGTGAAATAATCTGAAGAGCAAAAATCTTAGATAACTGAATTGGTGCTTCATAGTCCAAGTATTTATATAGGCAGGTAGAATGGTCCATATAATAAATACATCTAATTTTAAACATGTATAGTTTGTTTGGCTACATTCTTGAAATTATAGTTGTTTTTAAAGCATTCATTTTGTGCCCCAATTAGTACTGTACGGTACTATTTGATGCACAAAACACAGTCATATGTACTGCTCAATACATTCATTAGCATTTGTGGTGCTTAACCTGCCTTCCCCTAGCCAGTTGTGTTCATACTAAATGACAATCGCCTCCAAATTTCTTTACTAAGTTTGAGGTTGCTGTTTAACTTCTAATAGGAATGCCTTTCCTGGAATATACCGTATTTTTCTGTGTGTAAGATGCTTCCATGGATAAGACGCCCCCCTCTTTTCTAACGCAAAAGTAAGAAATCTAAGTGAGACTTAGCAAGTGTAGGTAGAAATCAATCAAAGCCCTGCAGGATCACTTTGATCCCTGCTTTCCCTTCCATTTGTTTTTCTTCTCTCCTCAGCTTACTTCCGTGTATAAGACAACTCTCAATTTTTATTCTAAAGATTTTAGACAAAAGTATACTCTTATACACGGAAAAATACGATATTTTACCAAAATCAGGCAGTGTTCCCTTTCCACTGCTATTTAAATATTGCCACAGTGTTTGCAGAATTTACACTACTCATTTTGATTTTTTTAAAAAAAAAAAAAATAAGAACACTATTGGTGAAACATATACATCTTATTTTATTTTGATGTCACAGTTTTGACTCTGCCTCAAAACTAGCCAGTGGTAGTGTATACTGTGATTGCTAATTTCAAAAAAAAATTTTAAAAGAAGGTTCAGTATTATTAGTCTTATAACTGAAATCTCTTTTCCTTTACTTTTCTCTATAGCTTAAGTATGTTTGATTCTCCTTCTGAAAACCCAGGTCCCATAGCTCGGGTGTGCTCCTGGATTCATCTCTGAGCCTGGATGCCCAGGTTTCACCACTGGCCAGGAGTGCATTTACACAATTAAAATTAGTGTACTACCTGTGCTATTCCTTGAGATGTCGGATCTGGCTACAGTGACACATGCCTTTGTTACATCCCGTTTGGATTACTATAACATGCTCTATGTGGGGCTGCTTTTGAAGACAGTTCGGAATCTTCAGCTGGTGCAAATCTCTGCAGCCAGACTACTGACTGGGGCCGCCTACAGGGACCATATAATGCACCTGTTATAAAAACTGCACTGGTTACCAGTCTCTGGGCCCAATTCATAGTGCTGGCCAAGCCCTATATAGCTTGGGTCCATGCTACCTGAAGGACTGTATCTCCCTACATATGTCTTCTCAGCAATTAAGATCATCAGAGGAGGCCCTCCTCTTGGTCCTATTGCCAGCACAAGCACAGCTGATGGGGACACAGGAGAGGGCCTGCGTGACTTGGCTTTTTAAATGGACTGTTGTGCCTTACTGCTTTGAATGTGTTTCAGTGTTGCTTTTGTTTTTTACTGTGATTTTTAAAAATCCTTTTTAGTATTAGTACTTTCTAGTATTAGTACTGTTACACGCTTTAAATATTGCCTTTTAATGATGTAAGCTGCCTTGGGTCCTTTTTAAGTAGAAAAGTGGGTTAAAAACAAACAAACAAATATCTAAATAGATTATTAGTCTTAACACAAGTTCCAGTAATAACACAAATTAATATTCACAGCTTCTTCACGAAAACAAAACACCTCAGTTTTTTCTAAAATCATAGCTCTTAGCAAACTATCTCATAGCTGCATTCTCGAAGACTTTCACAGCTGGGATCTGATAGTTGTTGTAGGTTTTTTGGGCTGTTTGGCCGTGTTCTGAGGGTTTTTCTTCCTAATGTTTCACCAGTCTCTGTGGCTGGCATCTTCAGAGGACGGGAGTCAGAACTCTGTGCTCTGGTGCAGTTTGTGGAATAGTTGAGTATTTATAGCTGTAGGACCAGCTTTTTGTCCTTTTCAGGAGATTGGGTGATTATGGTGATCAGCGTGTTTTTTTTTTTGCTGTGGGTGTGCTGTTGTGATAAGGGGGGCTTCAACAACTATACCTCATAGCTCTCAGTCTTATCTCACTACTATCTCACTGCTTCCAGTCGCTCTGAGTTTTACTTCACATGGATAGCTTCTTATTTCTTTTTGTTCCTAACCTAGACTCAAATTGAACTAAAACTCTCTCTCTCTCTCTCTCTCTCTCTCTCTCTCTCTGTGTGTGTGTGTGTGTGTGTGAGAGAGAGGGGAAATACACACATCCAACTTGCCTTGCCTCTGCCAGTCAAAACTTAGTCACTCATCATGCAAACCAACACATACCGATATACCAGATACAGGCGGTGTGGAATTGCCACAGCTTTGTAGGCTTTCTGATACAAATTTTAAATGTTTCATTAAAACACTGTTGCTCCTCTAAGAAAATGCCTCCAAATTTTATTGATGCATTTAAAAGAAGACAATTGAAAATCAGAAGTTCTTCTTTCATCCAAAATTCCTTTTAAAAAATGAGATAAATTGCCTTTTTTTCTCACCAATGTCTTTGGGTATAGCAGCTTATAAAAAAATAAATGTGTCTTATGCGGAAGTATGTCAGAGAGTCTTCTGGCTGTTGATTTGCCATAAACATTTATGGATTGCATCCCATTTCACTAAATGCATAAACTGCTACCTGAATAAGCAGGTACACATGATTGGAGGAATGAAGAAAGTGTGTTGGATGGAAAGTGGGTGAGGGCAAATAGAAAGGCAAAAGTACAAATGCTGGGAATGGCTGCTTCCCTGATGGTATGGAAATATATTGCCTAGTCCTTAGAAATGGAACTGGAAGTTCACTGGTAGTCTCACAGATGAATGCTTTGTACATTTAAAAAATGCTAAAAGTATCACAGATGAAGTACTTAACGAAAAACATTTATCCTTGTTTATTGTCTCATAAAAGAATGCAAACATTATAAAACCACAAACGTTAATACATACATCTTACATTAGCGTAAATTGCTATTCTGAGAAAGCACGTGTATGTAAGATTCTATATCTAGTTCAGATTCATTATCTCCTAGATAGCAGAAATGTCTTGTGGAAAGAAGCTCTGTAGCATTTTTTCTTCAATAATGGCGACCTCGTGTGGTATAAAGGTTTTATTGCAGCATTCATGGATTTACCGTAATTGCAAAATACTTTCTAAAGATCAGTTAATTCCAGTATGAGAAGAAACATAATTACAACTGATTAAATCAATGACAATCTCATTTTTAGGATTCATTTATGGGGTCATAACAATACTTGAAGAAGGAAAGGTAATCAAATAGGAAGAACACTGTACTCCCTTCAACAACAGTGGGGGTAGGGGTGCTGGACCTCTGTGTGATTCAAAATCCATGTATAACTTGTATGTCTCCCCCCCAAATGTAACTACAAAGCATAAACAGGTGGTTGACACATACAGAGACACCAGTTCTTTCTATTGGGTTTTTTTCCCCCATAGCGTTGACAATCCTTTCCTTACAGTACTGTATGTAATGTGCCCTAAAGGTTCTCATTATCCCCTGATCTCGAGGCTTAATTTTGTGTTTGGGACCAAGTACACCACTTAGGCCCCTTTGGTGTTGAACCCATGGACTTCTGGGTGCCCAGGGACGCAATATTTATTAAATATTTAGTTAATTATTGAAATATTTACTTATTTGCTTGCGTATTGAAAATAATCTGTGTATAACCAAAACTGCGCTGTTTGGACATGTGCGGATGTTTCTTGGTTTTTATTTGGACTTGTGCTGATTTCCAGCCTCTGAGATTCCCCAAACTGATTATAGGAAGATGATTTAGGCTGGGAGGAAGCATGTGGTTTAGTTACTCGTAATATTAGCCTTTGGCAGCCTTTGTCAAAACCTGCTGAACACTGATCAGCCAATTGTGAGCTGCATTGGCCTCCATGAAATATAATCACCTACTGCCCTAGGCTTAAGAGATGACGTTTTAATGGGGTATGGCAGGCATGCATCATGGCCTTCCTGAAGTTGTTGGATTGCAATAAGTACTATTTCTCACAGTTGGCTACATTGGGAGTTGTAGTCCAACAAGACCTGGAGGGCTGCATGGTCCCTACCACTAAAAGTTGGTCTTGGAAGTTGATTGTGAAGGGTTGGTGTAAATTCCTGTAATTAATAACAAAAAAGTGGGGAATCTCCCACTCCCAAAACTGTTCTGGGGTTATATATATGTCTGTGTGCATGTAAGAGAGAATAAGATAAGATGGAGAGAGAGAAGGAGTGAGATGTTAGCTTGGGCTTTTCAAGAGACCTGGTCTGGGAAATCAAAGGCTACAGTGAATGGATGGGCAAAGTGCAGCCCTGGGCCTGCATGCATTTGAGGCTCCCTCCATGTGGTTTTCCTGGGAGAAAGTCAACTGGCACACCTGAAACCTCCAGGAGTAATAATTCACCTTTTTCCATAGGTTGCACCCTCCTGCACTGTGTGACATGCACACAAATTATCAATTTTTCAAAATCACAAGGGACTTTTGTTTTAATTCCATTTGGGGCTTTTTAAACATTTGTTGCTAAACCAAGTTGTTAAAACGTATGGGTCTGCCTTGGCAAGGATTTGCCAATGTACAATATGCTTTCCACTTAACAAGAAAGACATACCAGTTATATGATCTAAATAGAATACAGGGTTATTGTGTAGATATACCAGTTGTCTGCACAGAAAGCAAGAATATCATTATGTACATGCTTTGAATGTTATCTTTCACTTTTCCATGTTAATCTTTTCTTTTTCTTTCTTTTTTTTTTTAGTGACCAAGTTAACAAGGAGGAAAGTCCTTTAGCCTGTCCAAATAAGACTGAACAAGCCAGGCCTGCAGTTAAATCAGGTACATTTTAAGTTTACAGTCCTTCAGGCTAGAGAATTCCCTCCATTTTATATTTCTCCTTTTCATCTACAGTGGTGCCTCGCATAGCGATCACTCTGTATAGCTATGAAATTGCTTTGCGATGGACTTTATGCCATCGCAAGAGCGATCGCTTTCTGATGGTCCCTATGGGGAAAATTCGCTTTACGATGATCGCGGGGAAGCGATCATCGCAAAGCCCCCATGTTTGTACAGCTGATCGGCGGTTTCAAAATGGCCGTCGGAAAAACAAAAAGGCCGCCCGCTGTTTTGCCTCGCTTTAGAGGCACTGAAAAAGGCTGCCCCTATGGAGGATCTTCTCTTTAAGGTTAGTTTTTAGCCCATAGGAATGTATTGAAGGCGTTTCAGTGCGTTTCTATGGGCTTTTAAAAATCGCTTAGCGATGAAATCGCTTAGGAGCGATTTTTGCTGCATGGATTAACATCGCCAAGCGAGGCACCACTGTACTAGTAGGAATAAACTACAGTTCACATTAATTGAACTTGTGACTCTAGAATCATGGTTTAAAATATTAAACATTTTAGAAGTTTATTGTAAGTCAAATTAATAATCCAAGTTTGAAAATAGATTACTTAATGACTGAAAATAATTTACTTTAAATCACTAGTTTTGCTTTGTACTGAAATTGGGGGAAGTAAAACTGAAAAATGGTTTATTCCTTTTACCACCTGATCTTGAGCTCACAGACATGTGTAAATAGTGCTAAATCATAATTAAGTATGGGTGAGCTAGCCGTTAGTATTGATTGAATATAATTCTACATCTCTTTATTTGTACATACAGTCATGTGAAAAAGAAAGTATACCCTCATATATATATCAGGACATAATAAAAATCATCTGATCCTTTGCAGGTCTGAAAATTAAAAGAAAACAAACAAACCCTGCAGCTACCTTATGATTCAATAGCTTGTAAAACCACTTTTAGCAACAGTAACTTGAAATAATCGGTTTCTGCATGATTTTATCAGTCTCTCACATCATTGTGGAGGAATGCACAGCTCTCTTAAGGTCTCATCACAGCATTTCAATCGGGCTGAGGTCTGGACTTTGACAGGGCCATTGCAATACCTTATTTTCTTATTCAGGCATTCTGTTGTAGATTTGCTGGTGTGCTTGGGATCCTTGTCCTGTTGCATGACCCAATTTTGGCCAAGCTTTAAACAGGTGGCCTCACATTTGACTCTAGAATACTTTGGTATACAGAGGAGTTCATGGTTGGCTCAATGACTGCAAGGTGCTCAGGTCCTGTGGCTGGAAAATAAACCCAAATCATCCCCACCACCACCACCACTGTGCATGACAGTTGGTATGAGGTGCTTGTGCTGATATGCTGTGTTTGATTTTTGCCAAACATGTTGCTGTGCAGTATAGCTAAACATCTCCACTTTGGTCTTGTCTGTCCAAAGGACATTTTTCCAGAAGCCTTGTGGTTTGTCCATATGCAACATTGCAAGCCTAAGGTGTGCTGCCATGTTCTTTTTAGAGAGAAGAGGCTTTGTCCAGGCAACGCTTCTGAACAAACTAGTTCAGTCATTTTCTAATTGTACTATCTTGAACTTTAACATGGTAACTGAAGCCTATGGAGTCTGAGATGTAACTCTTGGGGGGGTTTATAGTTTCTCTGATCATTGTGAAGGCTACCAGGACTATTTCTTGGTTTTTCCTGTCTTGAATGCATTAATCAATTAGCCAGAGACAGAGAGATCTAATAGATATTTGTTTATTTTCAGCTAAAAGCAAGGAAATAGGTGCAAACTTCACAAGCAGAAAACATGCAGAGAAGAACCGCGCCCCAGATACAAAAAGTATACATTTTTATATGGCAAACATGAAAGAGTGGGCTAAGAGGGTTGGGAGAAGGAGGAGAAATGGGAGGGGATTCTATAATTGGTACAAATTCCTGCATGAACTCAGCTGTGGGGAATAATTCATTTCACTGTGTCAGACACCCCGCTTCCCAAGGACAGACTTCTAATTTAGAAATACCTTAATTATAAATTGAAGAAACTTGGGCACCCACTCCTGGGAAGACTGGCATCTGTCTTGAATGTTTTCAACTTGTGAATAATCTTCTTCACTGTAGAATGATGAATTTTAAATTGTTTGGCAATGGCCTTCTTACCCTTCCCAGACTGATGGGCAACAACAATTGTTTCTCTACGATTATTGCTGATGTGTTTCCTCCTTGGCGTTGTGTTAACACATACCTGAATGCTCCAAACCAGCAGACTGCTAACATTTTGGCTTTTATGAAGGTTGTTATACTGGCTGATGATTAATTACTGAAGGGCATTTGGTTAGCAGCACCTGCTTGCTACGTGGCCTCTTAATTGCTGTGGAAGCAGTAAGGGTATACAGTGATGCCTCGCTTAACGAGCGCACCGTAGAACGACGAAATCGCATAGCGATTAGGTTTTAGCGATCGCACATGCGATGGCCCCTATGGGCAAAAATCGCTTTGCGAAGATCGGTAAGCGTTTCGATGCCGCGGATCAGCTCTTCGGCGGTTCCAAAATGGCTGCTGGAAGCCCCGAAATGGCCGCGCGCAGCGTTTTCGCGCCCTCCCCTCGCTTACCGAGGGTGCGAAAATGGCTGCCGCAATGGAGCAACCTCGTTGAATGGTGAGTTTTGCAGCCTATTGGAACGCAGTGGCGGCAGCAGCCTATTGGAACTAAGTTTAATGCGTTCCAATGGGCTTTTACGTTCTGTACAGCGATGTTTCGGCATAGCGAACTATGCGAGGCACCACTGTACTTAGTTTTTCACACATGGTTTCTCTATTTTGGCTTAATTTGTGTAAAACAAAACATTACAGGGTGTAATATGTCATGCATTGTTGTTCATCTGAGGTTGTGTTTATCTACCGTATTTTTCCGTGTATAAGATACTTTTGTCTAAAATCTTTAGACTAAAAATTGAGGGTCACCTTATATACAGAAGTAAGCTGAGGAGAGAACAAAACTGCTTGTATCTTGCCTCTTCAGACAGGCTTCCTTCAATCATGAGGCTTAGCTTCCTGCAGTCAGGAGACTTAGCTTCCTCCAGTCACAAGCCTTATGTAACTGATGTCAGCTGATGCTGTACAAACCAATTGAAACACACCTCATTGGAGGTGGAACCTGTAGGCAGTGCTCAGATTCGTGTCCGACTGTTCTGAGCCCAGAGGCTGAATACTCAAAGCTAAGTTTAGATTTTTAAAATTGTGGGTTAGAAAAGGGGGGGTCTTATACATGGGGGCATCTTATAGACAGAAAAATATGGTAATTTTCAGATCTGCTAAGGATCGGGTGATTTTTATTATGTCCTCTTATGTAATACTAAAAAATTCAAAGAGGGTGCACTTACCGTATTTTTCTGTGTATAAAACAACACTTTTTCCTAAAATCATTAGAGGAAAAATTGAGGGTTTTGTACACGGAAGGAAGTGGAGGCAAAGGAGCAGCCGCACTCGGCTGTCTCTTGTGGCTGCTCATTGACTGCTGCCACTGCTGCCGGATTGCCTCCTCCAGCACCACTCTCAGGCTGCCTTCGGGCAGGGGACAAGGTGGCGATGTGATCTGGAGGTGAGCCCTGGCAGCAGGAGGATGTGATTGGGTGGCAGTGGCGGCAGCAGTCAATGGGCAGCTGCAAGAGGCGCCGAGCGTGACTGCTCCTTTGCCTCCACCTCCTCCTCCTCCTGCTGCTCCTGGCTCTGCTGCCAGATTGCGTCTTCCAGCGCCACTCACAGGATCCCTACGGGCAGGGGACAAGGCAGTGACTTGATCGGATGGCGGAGGCAGCAGCAGCAGGAGACAGAGGTGGAGCCGCTCCTCACGGGTGCCCATTGTCAGCAAACACGGCGCTCGAAAGCACACGTGAATGCCTGGACAGAGAGTAATCAGGAGATTGCACATGTTAAAATGGACTGAGTGAGTCCTGGAACTCAGCTAGCTGAGCTACAAGCCTCCTTCTTACAAGTCTGCCCACATAAGAACACCCTTGTACTCTCAGATATTACTGAAAGAAAAACATGTGGGCTTTGTAGTCCTTAGACTTATCTTGCACCACAGGCAGGACTTCTTAAGTATGCTAGGCCGAGGCAGCACTCTCAGATGACCCTAAGACAAGTGTACTGTTCAGGAAACCAATTGATTTTTATAATCATTATTTTATTAAAGAATAAGCATGCGTCTAGGTATTAAATCCAAACTAAGCCAAAGCAAGTAAATAAGCATTGTGTTAGTTATTTACAACTCTGTAGTGAGGCAAAGAAAACATGAAAAATAGAAAAGTGTTCAAAAACCTTACAAGAACCTTACAACCTTATATTTGATTCTTCTTATACTTTGTCCAATAATAAAAGAATATTTAATTGAAAACCCCTGATTCCTAAGTTATATGAGCAGCTCCTATGTGTGGGAATTGTAGTGGTATTAGGAGAAATACCTGGTGGCAGCGAAAAGAAGGAAAAAGGCATGTTTACCCTTGTGGAGCCCAAAGGAAATAAAGGGGCAACAAGGGGGATCACCACAGATGGAAATGGACAAATCGTGTGCTGTTGGAGAAGAGATCTCCAACTATTTGTTTGGCAGATCATCTATTGCCCTAATCTAACCATTCTCATCCCACATGCATTCGTGGGTGCCACTGCCTCACCAGCTTCTTGTGCTTTCAGACCCTGAGCCAGAAAGATGATTCTGTAATATATTAAGACTTAATAGACTTGTAGTCATTTGCTTCTATAAAGAATCCTGGCCAGTAAGGTAAATAGTATCTGGTTTTCTAGTGCTCAGTGTTGCTAAGGCTGCTGCTAAAAACAGCAACCAATAAATTCAGACTGGTGTCATTTTTGTGACCAGAATGCAAAGCTGTGGTTATGATCAATAAACCAGAAAGACAAAACAATGTGCTGAACTTGTCAGTTTTTGTTATTTACTTTTCCTGTTTTCATTTTTGCCATCAAAAGAGTTGAAGATTCATAAATAAATTATATAGAAATATTTCATTTTATGTATTAAGTAGATATTGCTCATTAAATTATTTTATAGATTTATCTATACATAAGTAAAAAAATTAAAACAATGGTTTCAGTATCATTTTTTGTCTATTTTTTCCAAAATAAAATAAGTAATCTTTTAATAATATCTTTACACATTTCAGAAAATTATCCCGAAGTACTTGAGACAGAAGAAGAAAACTACTGGAATATGAACGTTTTACCAATTTTACATGAATTAGAAACAGGTATATAACCGATTTTAGTACTGTATTCCTAAATAGTACTTGGCACTGTAATCTGCCTAACATCATATACCTGCTCCCTTTGTAGCTATTTTGAAGGTGATTCACTGTAACCTACCTATGATGCACATGTGATACATATCTGTACTATATTTATGAAGGGTAGGAATGCCTGGTACTGAAGATAATGTCTGGGAGTGAAAATCCCCACTGTGCGTTTCAAAAGGAAAGAGCCTGCCAAGATCATCTGGAGTTTGTGTGGCATATGGAATTATGTGCCCTGCTACCTCTGTGGCCTTGGGCAAGCTGCAAAGTCCCAGGAGGGACTAGGAAACCATTATACTTAGAAAACCCTGGGAGGGTCATCGTAGGGGATAAATGGCATAGCAGTCTATAATTACTGCTACTAGGAAGGATAGGGTTTGGCCCACAGCCAGAATCAGTAGTAAAGGAACAGCTATGCTTTTGTTTAATTAATCCTTGAAGGAAGTTTCCAGTTTGGCCTTTAGAACTGAGAATCACAGTGCTTGATATTAAGTACAGTGGTGCCCCGCTTTACGATTACCTTGTTAAATGATGAAATTGTTTCACGACGATGTTTTTGCGATCACTATTGCGATCGCAAAACAATGTTTCAAAGGGCGATTTTCATTTGACGATGATCGGTTCCCTACTTTGGGAACCGATTCTTTGCATTACGATGATCTAAAAACAGCTGACCGTTGGGTTTCAAAATGGCTGCCCTCTGTGCAAAATGGCCCCCTGCTGTTTTTAGGACGGATTTTTTGCTTAACAGGGATCGGAAAATGCTCACCCTATGGAGGATCTTCGCCAAGGTATTTCACCCATTGGAACACATTGAACCAGTTTTCAATGCATTTCAATGGGTTTTTTTCCTCGCTTGACGACTATTTCACTCTACAGCGATTTCACTGGAACAGATTATCCTCATCAAGCGAGGCACCACTGTACTTTGCAATATCTCTACAAAAATATTTCTTTTAATTGATTTCTGGTTTTTTTTCAGAGACTCTAAAATATACTTTATAATTAACTCTGCTTTCTTCTTTTTTGCATCAGAGGACAATGTAGAAAACCTTTGCCATGCCTGCACTATCCTCTATCAAGTCCTGGAGGAAGGCGATATGTTTGGAAAGCGATTTAAAGGGCGTACTCTTCTTTTGAAGACTTTATACAAATTAGTTGACATTCCTTCTGATACCCTTGGCCTGAAATTAGCAAAAATTATTCTGGGTGTAAGTTAAAGTTTGTGGAGAACATGATGTAATATGGTGGCTTTTATATACTAAACACTGGAGAGTTGTGTGAAATTACATAATAAATTCTGAAAAATTAATTGAATTTAATTAAACTACTCAATAAATTATTCAGCCTCGGTGAATTAATCAATCCAAAAAAGTGGAAATTTTTCATATAATTTTGTTGTTGAAATATTTAATATGAGATCAGTGTTAATTTTTAAAGTCTCAAAAACTTTTCAGTAGTAAGTGCAATTACTCACTTATGGCATTGTGAACACTTTCATTCCTTCACCATAATGTCATTCTGCCTGAGTCTAAACATCTTTGTCTGAAAAAAAAAATCTGAGTCAATATTACTATCTTGTATGTAATGTATTTCAAGGAGACAACAACATAAGAACAAAATATCCTTACTTAAACTTGGGCTGGTGAAAGTATAACAAAGAGATAAATAACAAAAAGCACCCAAATTAAAGCAAAGAAATTAAGGCACCATAGTTATTATTTATATAGCTCCTTGTCTAGAAAATTAAGAAAACCAATTTATAGAATAAAGCTTTCCGTAAGCATCTCCTTATGATTTATGTTTTGCTCTGTTATAAAATGGTGCATATATTTTTAACCAGATTCTGGTTGAAAGCCTCTTTTCATGTTTCAGCATCGATTAATTGTACAGCCAGAGCTAATCTCCAAACCAATTCTCTGTTTTTCTTTGGGATTAATAATGAGAATAAGAATAGAAAGCACACCACAGTACATAAATAATAATGTTAGTTATTACTGTACTGTGTCATCCTTGTGTATATAATTTGTGTTAAAACATTTAAACTCATTTGAAAATATACTTATGTTACCTTAGAAGTTCCTATTCAAGAGACACATGACAGGACCTTTTTGTATTATAGATTATTTATTTTGTTATCTAGTAAATATACTAAAAGATCCTGCCAACTGTCCTTTTTGAATAAAGACTTTTAAGGTAACAAAAACATGCTTTCAAATGAGTTTAAATTTTTTATCACAAATTATTCCTCCAAGTATGACAACTCTGAGAAAGACACAACTCTGATAAAAAAATATTTTGGTATAACAAATACTATTGCTTCTCAGTTATGTTCTGAGTTCCAAAAACAGGCAAATACTTTAAAGCTATATAAAAACTCTATAGGATTTTGTCCTAGTCCTTTAAGGACTGGATAAAAAAGTTACATGCTGTGACTTTACATGACATTTCAGACATTGTTTTGAATTACTGTTCTTGAGTAAGTAGCTGAAGGATTCAGCCTAATGATTTTGTTTTGGTTTCTCTTTCAACCTTTCTTTGCAGGTGAAAGTCAATGGGAAGAATCTAGTTAATGTTTGCAAACTTGTGTTCAAAATAAGCAGAAATGATAAAAATGACACCCTGATTCAGAATGACAACATATTAGGTATGTATTCTTTTGTGTATATCCTACCATAAACAGTAACTATTCTTTATTTATTTGTTTAACTTATATGTCGCCCACTCTACCCAAAGATCTCTGGGTGGCTTACAACAATTAAAATACAATTAAAAAGATAAAACAATTAAAATATATACTCTGAAAATTGGCATCAGGACCCGCAGTTGATATTATTTCAATTAAAAGCTTTCTGCAACAGGAAGGTTTTGACCTGGCCCTGAAATGTCACCAGCGTTGGTGCCAGACGAATATCAATTGGGATGGCGTTCCATAGTCTGGGGACAGCTGCCAAAAAGGCCCTTTGTCTACAAGCCATCCCTCTTGCCTCCTTGAGGGATGGCTCTTTCAAAAGGGCCCCCTGGCTAGATCTTAACTGCCAGGTAGGTTCATATGGAAGGAGGCGGTCCTTCAGATATACAAGGCCCAAGCCATTTAGGGCTTTATATGTCAAAAGAAGCACTTTGAAATGGGCCCGGGCAGCAACTGGTAGCCAATGTAATTTAAATAGAATCGGCTTGATGTGTCCCCTAGTGGCCCCACCACTCACCAGCCACACAACTTGATTCTGGACCAGTTGCAGTTGCCAGACCGTCTTCAAAGGCAGCCCCACATAGAGTGTATTGCAGTAATCTATACGAGATGTTACCAGTGCGTGTGTAACTGTCATGAGACTCTGCTTGTCCAGGTAGGGCCCTAGCTATTATAATTTCTGCAGCTGAAGGAAGGCGCCCCTGACCACAAAGTCCACCTGGGCTTTCAGAGTTAGACTGGGGTCCAGGAGCATTCCCGGGCTGTGGACTCTGTCCCTTAGTGGGGGTGTAACCCCATTCAGGGCAGGGAAATGGCCCTCCAGCCTGTCTGGCGAAGCAGCCACTAACAGCACTTCCGTCTTGTCTGGATTGTGTTTCAATTTATTAACCCTCATCCAGTCCATTATCACGTCCAGGCACGAGTTCAGCACAGAAACTGTCTCACCTGGATTGGTGGAAAACGAGAGGTAGAACTGAGTGTCGTCAGCATATTGCTGACTCCTCAGCTCAAACTTCCTGATGACCTCTCCCAGCGGTTCCATGTAGATGTTAAACAGCATGGGGGACAGTATCGAGCCCCGAGGAACTCCGTGACATAAATGCCATGGGACAGAGTAACTGTCCCCCAGCACCACCCTCTGGACACGGTCAGCTAGGAAGGAGAGGAACCACCGTAAAGCGGTGCCCCCAACTCCCAACCCAGCCAGCCTATCCAGAAGGACACCATGGTTGATGGTGTGGAAAGCTGCTGAGAGGTCCAGGAGTATCGACAGGGTCACATTCCCCCTGTCTCTCTCCTGGCAAAGGTCATCGTACAGGGTGACCAAGGCAGTCTCCGTACCAAAACCAGGCCTGAAACCTGATTGAAATGGATCAAGAAAATCCATTTCATCCAGCAGCGCCTGGAGTTGCCCGGCCACAACCCGCTCCAACATTTTGCCCAAATAAGGCATATTTGCCACTGGTCGGTAGTTAACCACCAGCCTTGGGTCCAGGTTAGGCTTTTTTTAAGAGAGGATAAATTACTGCCTCTTTCAAGGTGGTAGGGACCACTCCCTCTCTCAAAGAGGCGTTCACGGCCTCCTGGACCCAGGTGCGAACCCCCCTGGCAGATCTTCCAGTTAGCCAAGATGGGCAAGGGTCGAGTGGAGTGGAGGTAGAACGGACAGATCCAAGCACCTCAGGTCTCAAAAATTGAAACTCATCCATTAATACTTGACCTAAGCGTGGCACACTGGACACATCCTCTGATAGTGCAGTAACGGTGGAGTTCAGCCCACTGCGAATCTGAGCAATTTTACCTCAAAATGAATGGCAAACTCATCACAGCGAGCTGATGAGCAGTCCAGGATCTCCACTGGATGTCTCAGTTGAAGAAGATCTCAGACCACCTGAAACAGCTCTGCTGGACGACGTTCTGAAGAAGCAATATGGTTGGAGAAATATTGCCATTTCACCAGCCGTATTGCCACGAAATAGGCCAAATAATGGGCTCTAAGTCATGTTCGATCGGACCCCCAGCGGGATTTCCTCCACCCGTGCTCCAGCCGTCTCCCCTCTCGCTTCATCGCCCGCAGTTCAGAAGTATACCAAGGCGCAATCGTGTCAACCGCCCGGGTCATCTCCTATTCCATAAGGTGACCTGAGCTTCGACAGGAGCACCAACCATATCAGATGGATAATCCCCCAGATCATTCAGGAAACCATCCGGATCCATTAGTTTCCAGGGGCAGGTCATCTTAATAGATCTCCCACCCTTGCAGGGGGAAGAATAAGCTAGTAGATTAAGCTTGACCAGGAAGTGGTCTGCCCATGACAGTGGGGCACAACCAGCTCCTTCACATCCAAACCACCATCTTCCAGTCCCGTTGAGAAAACCAGGTCCAAGGTATGGCCCTTCTCATGTGTCGAGCCAATGACATATTGAGACAGCCCCCTGATTGTCATGGCGGCCATGAAGTCCTGAGCTGCCCCAGTCAAGGCAGCCTTGGCATGGATGTTGAGGTCCTCCAGCACCAACAGCCTGGGAGTCCTCAACACCAGGTCCGAGACTACCTCCATCAGCTCAGGCAGGGTGAGTGGTACACCAACAGAATCCCCAATCTCTCTCGCAAGGCCAACACACAATACAGGCCCTCAAGACCTCCTCTCAAAGGGATAGGAAGCCTGGTCACGGAGATAGAACTCCTATAGACCATAGCAGCTCCCCCTCCCCAGCCCTCTGAGTGACATTGGTGCTGGACCGAGTACCCAGGTGGACACAGCTGGGAGAGGGGAATCCCACCCTCCTCTCCCACCCAGGTCTCAGTAATGCACACCAGGTCAGCACCCCCATCCAGAATTACATCATGGATGAGGGCAGTCTTATTTTGTTCTGACCTGACATTCATCAACAGCACCGTGTGGCTCGAGGGTTTGCTGATATGGTCACCTGATACCATCTTGTTGGGGGTAGGACTAGAAGGGGATAGATGTAAGCTATCTAACCTCTCTTCTCCCACGTGGGCATGTTCTACCCCCACCACCATTCCTTCCCCTACCTAGGACCACCTTAATGGCTGCCCCCTCCAATGCCCTGGCCCCTTCCTGTTCCCTCAAATCCACTGTGGGTCTCTATGTAACCTGGCAATTAATAATCACAATTTAAAAAACCCTTCCAAAGCCCCTTCTCTCCTCCGAGCCAGGTGGCTGATGTAGAGGATGGGGTGGGGCAGCCAGCGGCAGCAAGGGCCCAGTCCTGCAAGGCCGAGGGAGTCCAAGCAAATTTCCCCAGGAAGGCTGGCAACCGACAGCAACACAGCCACAATGTCTCTCACCGAGTGCCTGAGGGACGGCAGATGATACAGAAGACTTCCCTGAAGGCAGAAATGCTGGTCTAGCATGAAAATGAAAATGAAACGGTACTGTTAATGTGTGGGGGAAATAGGGATAGTCTTTTTAAAAAAATATTAATGCTAACAGGGTTTTCAGGCTGTGCTGTGGTTTTAGGATTCTTTTTCTGACTTCCCTAAACAGTTTGCACTGTGGTGCAGACCTGCAGCACCAACTGTCTAAGTACAGTATGCTGATCTTTAATTCTTCTGGACTGGAGGAGAAAGAAAGAAAGATTAAAATTTATCTCTCTCTCCCTTCCCTCATCCAACCCTTCAGCTGTCTTGCTGCTAATGAACACCTTTCATCAGAAGTAAAAGTAAATGCCTCATGTTTTGGAACTAAACAGTTAGTTCAAATCTTGCATATGCATACTTCCAAATGTGATCCTCTTCAGAACACATTTGGCCGAGTTCCAAAGAAAGGCCATGCATGTGTGAGAGAAAAACATCTGCACAGCTCGTTTCGGCGGTGAAGACAAGCTGATTTTGTTAGAAACAAAACTAAACTGTTTCTTAATCTAAAATTGGGGATGGCTCTGATAGTTGGAGCCTAAAAATCCATTTTAAAAATATATAGTTTGCAGTGGTTTCCTCAGTATACATTCTGGTGTAGTAATAAAGTAAACTCTTGTTAACTGACTTCTAAAACCAGCAATATTTTAGAATCGTTGGATGGCATCTAGGGCTGTGCTGCGATAAGGTTACTTACATAGAGGGGCTGCCACCCTTCTCATGGGGTCCCTTATGTTCCTCTTTCAAAGTCTCATTGAACAATCTGGAATGTGGAGTAGAATACTGAGTGCCAGGAATTGGGTTGATCAAGTAAAGATAGCTTTTTGGAATGGGAGTTCTGCTCTCAGAAACTTTGTTCAACTGTTTTTCTCCAACGTGGCAACCTCTCATTCCCATATCTCAGGCCTTTCCTTGTGATTCCTTTTCTTTAGGCTTCCTTAGGCTGGCAGTGGGGCACTGGGTACTTCTGTGAAAAGAGGGAGATGTGGAGTTTCACCTTGCACAACTATTCTAGAATTCATATTGAACTGAGTATAACTTGGGTCACTTCATAGAAAAAGGCAGTGAACAGTTTTCTAAGGCTATAAGCAGAACTAGCACTAGACAGAAACATTAACATCTTAATCTTCTCTGTAGATTCTCTGCTTGAAATTCTGAGAGTTGAAGATGTGCAAGCAAACATTGAAGCCTTTCTGTATTGTATGGGTGCTGTAAAATTCATTTCTGGAAACAAAAGGCTCATTAATGAGATGTCCAGCAAGGGAAGTGTTGAGATACTGCTGCAACTTATGAGACACATTAATGAAATTAATGAAAGTGATCCTCTGTTCTCCAGCTCAGGACATCTCTTAGTCCAGGTCAGACTAAAGTTTTTATTTCAACAAAATGAAATAGAGGACCAATCTGAATCCCACTAAAGTAATTCTAAATGTCTTTAGGCAACTTTATTTAAATGATACTAATGTTGGTGAACAAAATGGTTGTGATTTCAGAGACAGGTACTGGTACTTACAGTACATTTCTAATCAGTTCCTTTTGGTTTGTGCCTTCTGTACTCAGGAATTAATTTCAAAAATGCATAAAAAGGTACAGTACTCTGCTAAATAACATGAAATATCTGTTCAGTAAGCAGGGTTATACTTTTTAAAACAATTTCCTGTTACGTAGGAAGAGAAACTTTTTTTCTGAATTAAGCTATAATTCGATAACTATCATTTATTTAACTTACTACATTTAGGATGTAGTTAGTAAACCACAGTTCCCTCATTTTATGGCCAGCTTACGACATACATGCTCTGGCTTAAACTGAGTATCTTACCTACATGCGCTGTCTTAACCACTTCTTCCTCCCCCCCCCCTTCTTAGCACAGAGTAATTGCTGTTTAGTCCAAAGTGAGAAGGTGTGGCTGGAACAGTTGAAAAAGTTACTTTTCTGGATTAGAACTCTGCTGGTTAGTCCAAAGTGAGAAGGTGTGGGTGCTGGAACAGCTGAAAAAGTTACTTTTCTGGATTAGAACTCTCAGAATACTCCTGCAGCCATGCTGGACATAGTTTTCTCAAACTGTAGTTCAAAACATTTATATTTTCCACGCTCTGGTTATCATGCTTGTAGCAAATTAGGATTTTTAAAGCCATGAACAAAAGTAAGTTGAAGATTATGCTCTCTTCTGATCCTGATATTTATAGGTTCCCAGTTCTGAATGGAAAACCACTATCTTTTTAAGTGTGATACCTCCAGAACGGAGGAGTGAGTGAGCATATGTTCCTGGAAGTGTGCATGTTTTGTCTTATTAAACCAAGAAAATCTAAATCCACACTGAATCCATGTGCGGTTTGCAAGTATGGGTTAGTTAAAAGTATAAGCAGAAGCTTTCATTGCCTTCATGTGTATAAAGAAGGAAGAGAGGAGAAAGTGGAATGTGAATCTAAGGCTTGCTGTGGCTTGTATGTGGTTCTTAACTTTTTTGAAAGAAACGCCCCTTGAGCCATTGAGGAACTTACCATAGCCCCCCTCCCCACGGCCCCACGGCAGCAGTGTGGCTGCAGTGTGGCACTGCTGCAGGAAGGGGGCCAATAACTTTCTCAATGACGGCGGCGGCACGGCAGTGGCAACACCACATTGGCTGACAGCATCAGCTGCTCTAGATCCGGCAGCATGGGGAGGGGAGCTATGATAACTTCCTCAATGGTGGCTGTGGTGGTATGGCGGCTCTATCGCCCCCCCTTCTGTTCCCCCCCACGTCACCCCTTTTCGTTCCATGGCCCACTGAAAAACGAAATCGCCCCTGAGGGAGCGATATCGCCCAGGTTAAGAACCACTGGTTTAGATTATTGCCTGCACCAGGCCTTAGTGTGGAGCCTAGCTCTGCAAAAGTTTTTACCTCTGCTTAGGTGAATAATAGTAGAAAATTACCCAAAGGAATTTCATAAAGACGTATTAAAGGGAAAGAAAAAACAAGAAATCTATTTCATAAGATCCATGAGATCACAGTAGAAATTAAATGAACAGTAGAGATGTTGAAAGATCAACAAGGGGATACATTTGATCATGATAAAACAAAGAGAAGATGGAAATAATATATTGAACAACTGTACAAAAGAACTGTTGCAATGACAGATTTTTTTCAAAGAAGACTCTTTGGAGGAAGAATGTGCAATTTTAGACAGCAAAATGCATTCTGTGCTCAAAACAAGAAGGCAAAGTGTCAGGAGCAAGAAGTAGAGTAGAGAAAAATGTGGTCTGTGGGATGTATTCAGTCCCCTTGAGGTATTTTTAAAAAGTGGCCTATTGTTTTTAAATGGCCTATTTTAACTTTTTCAAAAAAAAAGTCCTAGGAACTGGAATTTTCTGCTCCTGGACCTTCCCTATGGGGCTCCCCCACTCCATGCCCACAAAACAAACTTCCATCTGGGCACTTCCTCTTTTTTATTTCTTCCTTTCAAAAATCACCATTTTAGGCCATTTCTGTGCCTGATGCAGGTGTGACTTTGACCCTAAGCTGTCAGACTTTGTCCACCCTTGCAAAAGAACTACTTCATGCTGTTGGGACCGAATCAAATCTTAACAAGAATATGCCAACAAATACAGAAAACGAAACAATGGCTCACAGACTGGAAATGCTGAATATGCATTCCAGTCACAAAGAAAAGAGATGTCAAAAAAGAGTAGCAACTATTGGTCCACCACATTCATTGTCTTGAATGCATAACATTCTCCTAAGAGCATAGCTATACCAGCAAAAGAAACTTCTGAGCCTTTTATATGCAGCCGAAGCCCCAATTCCAGACTCTTCCATGCTGACAGCCGAATAGGCCTTGTTCTTCTCCACAGCACTGGGAAGGCAAAGACAATTTCTTGCCCCCCTCCTTCATCTGAACTAATTTCTCTAATTAGTACTGTATCAGACTGGATTTGAAGGCTCTTCTCATGTGCTAAGATGCAGGCATTTCCCATTCTTGTTGCTGGACAAAAATTTTACTGTTGGATCAATGACCCATTTCCCTAGAACTCAGGCCTGATTCTTAGACGGATCCTAAACCCTGTATTTCCTCATTTCTAAGTTTAACAAAGCTGGATTTAGAAAGGAGGAGGCCCTAGAGATTGTATTGCAAATATTATTTGACTATTGGAGCATACCAAAACATTTCAGAAGAAAATAATGGTTTGTGCCTTTTAGATTGCAGTAAAGCTTATACCTAATGTGATATGAAGGATGAACTAGGACTTAAGAAATGTGAAATTAAAGTTAAAATACACATCACAGGATGTGTGTGGAAATGGTAAAACTACTCGTTAAATAAAAACTCGAAATGGGAGTATTCATATATGAATATCCCACCACAGGTGCAGATAATGAAGGTTCTGCCCCCTGGGGCCAGACTGACCACTGACGAGGCTGCCGCAAGCTCCACAGTGCCTTCTTATCTCTCCATTGCTCATGATGGATTAGCTCAATTGAATAGATAGGAAAAGGCATGGATCTGTTTATGAGAAATAGATGTGGCTGGAAAAGAGCATACTGATAGGTTAGAATATGGAAAAACAGAACCATTTCCAATGGGAAAAAGCATAGGACAAGAGTGTTTTCACTCTCCTTACCTGTTAATTCTCTATGCAGATATTATACTGTACTATAGAGAGTTAGTATGTACAGATATATATTACAGGTATATAATATAGGGAAAGCTGGACTAGATTCACATAAAGGAGGAGTGAAAATTGGAGGACGAAATTGGAAGTAAGAAAATGGAGGAGAAAGAGTCTTGGAAGGGTAGCTATGAAGTAACTTGTCTCACCGGAAACCACGGTAAAGACTGTTCAGAGTATTATATTCCCAAATGCGGTGCATTTGTGTGAAAGTTGAATGATGAGGAAAACTGACTGGAAAAATTGATTTATATGAGATGTGCTGGAGGAGACTTTTGTGGTTACCATGAACTGGCAGAAAGACACAAGTGAATTTGAGATCAAATCAAGCTTTCACTCTGGCTAGAAGCTAAAATGAATAAACATGACTAAACAGAGGCTATTGTACTTAGGCCATATCATGATAACCCAAGAATTGCAAAAGACAATAGTACTATGAAAAGTGGAAATTAGAAATCAGAAAGACTGAATGTGAGATGGATTGATTCAGTAAAGGAAACCCTGACCTCCAGTTTGCAAGACCTGACCAGAGCTGTTAATGATAGAACCTTTTGCAGGTCTCTCATTCATAGGGTTTCCACAAGAAATGAATTGACAAAATAAAGACTGCCACCGATCAAGCATTTCCTTGAGGACTATATCCATTATGCAGCTATCTTTCTTTTTCTTCCCCCCCCCTAAAAACATTCTGAAATATTACTACCCACATAATTTTTAATGGCAGTATTAATGCCATACAGTTAAGATAGTTTTAAAAATGGAAGAGTTGCTCATAAAATATTTAGAATCATTTTTTGGCTTCCAGTAATGTACTGTAGATGGTCTTATTCTAAAGATGAAAGACTGTGTGTTGACTAGTATTACTGTATGGCATGGAGATGCTGAATCAAACCATTATTCTTAGTTGTGACACCTTGTTTTTGCTTTCAGTATCAGAGAGCAGCAATGACTGACTGATACTGCTATGCTTAGTCTGAACGTGGTTCTGGCACTGGTTTAGTTAGTTATTGAATTCATTTCAAACTTTTATACAGTGCCATTCCCCTGAGATTTCAAGGTGATTTACGAAAATCAATTGGTTTATAAATTGACTGCACAAATTTGTTACCAGTGTAGCGGCTTGAACCAACAATGTTGTCTCAGTTCAGTCTTCTGAATTTGCCTGGCTGTTGAATCAGATAATGTCCTAGTTTATGGAAAAATTAATATAATATAATTGACCATTTAACTTATAGAAAACTATATTGTTCTTTGTGGATTGAAAGCATAATATTCATAACGGGTTCCCTCATTGTTTACCAATGGCACAAATTTTCTGATGTATAGAATGATACATGTAAGTGGCCTTTGTACTCATCTACTAAAAAACATTCCCATGCCATTACTGATTTTCTAATATACAAGTGTTAGAGCATCAGCCTTCATTTGGCCGTGACTTTCTTAGGGTCCATCTAGATGATTTCCTTGTGTGTATATGTCTATGGAGGGGGGCAGAATGGTGCTCTAATTCCAAGTAGTTTTAGTATTGCCATTGTTTGTTTGTTTGTTTTGCCATGGTTGCAACTCCAGCCGCACAGATTCTGCTGATCTGTTTCAGTTAGTGATAGTTGGCATTAGAATTTGAACAGCCCCTGTGAACTGCAGGCATCAGTCATAGTGATTCAGGATGCCTCCGGTGGATAATATACGGTAGGTAGCTGAAAAGAAAACAGAAGACCAGAGGCAAATCAGTACTATGAGTTTCAGGCAATGACAAGTAGGCACTGATTTGCATTGTGTTTATATATATATATACAGTGGTGCCTCGCTTAACAATTTTAATTGGTTCAAAAAAAATGTCGCTATGGGAAAACAACACTAAGCGAAACGCGATTTCCCATTGAAATGCATTGAAAACTGGATAATCCGCTCCAATGGGAACGGATTGCTGTCCTTAAGCGAAAATCGCCGTAGGAAACATCGCTAAGCGAAGCACGGTTCCCCAATTGAAATGGATTGAAACTTATTCAATGCATCTCAATGGGGGGAAAATTACAACAAATTTAAAAAGAGTCAGAACAAAGTCAAATTAGTTTAACAAAGGGTTTATTAAGTGCACTTATGATTTCAAGCATTCTAAACATTTTTAAACATTTTTAAACATATAAAAACAGCCAACATGAGGCTGTCAAAACCATCGTTAAATGAAACAGGGGGACCCAAACTGTCATCGCTATACGAAGCATGGTCCCAAACATCGCAAGGCCAGTATCGCCCATAGGAAACATTGTCAAACGGAGCGCAAGATCGCTCAGAAAAAGTCATCGCTAAGCGAATTCGTCGTTAAATGAAGCGCTCGTTAAGCGAGGCACCACTGTATATATATGTGTGTGTGTGTGTGTGTGTGTGTATGCATGCACCTGGGTATGCATGCATTCATGTATACATACTTATTTTTCTATCTGTATACCTTACGGAACAATAAATAGTTAAGATAGATTTGGATAATTATAATCACTAGGTTCCTACAGGAAAATAGTGGTACTTTGATAACAGAAAGTAAAAAGCAGGAGTTTCATTCTTCTAAATGCTCTTTCCCCTTATGAGAACTTGCCTCAGGGAAAGGGGGGGAGCAAGAAAGAAATGGAATCACTGTCTTTTCACCCTATTGTATTATTTAAGAAGCACAAGTGAGCTAGCAAAGAGGCAATTTTCAAAGAAGATTAGAAATGTGATAGAGAATAAGTGAAGTAAAGAAATACAAGATGTAATAATAGTGGATGAGGAGACTCTTGTGCCATTATGGATGATGATGAAACATGAAATTTGGTACTTGATTACAGTATTGGCAAAAGTGCAACAGAGAGGACACTTTTAAATGTTTCTTATGTTACACCCTAGAAAAGTATTACAAAAATTCTGAAAATTATTAATAATTTTCTTACTAAAGTAATCCCCATTTTGCTGTGTTGTACTTTGTATTACTTTCCTAGTAGCAAGTGTGCTGTTGAGAGTAATTCTTGTGATAAACTCACCAGCATTATTGTTAAAGTTGTTAACTGTATTCATGACACCTGTGTGTGAGAAGCAGAAGGGAGGAGGTTTGGATATTTGGTCTGTATCTGGAAAGTGGGCCTTAGAAAGCCTGCCTAACAACAAGGCCAGTGGAGGTGACGGCATTCCAGTTGAACTACTGTATTTAAAATCTTAAAAGATGATGCTGTCAAGGTACTACATTCAATATGCCAGCAAGTTTGGAAAACTCAGCAGTGGCCAGAGGATTGGAAAAGATCAGTCTACATCCCAATCCCAAAAAGAGGCAGTGCCCAAGAATGCTCTGACTACCGTACAATAGCACTCATTTCACACGTTAGCAAGGTTATGCTCAAAATCCTACAAGGTAGGCTTCAGCAGTATGTGGACTGAGAACTCCCAGAAGTACAAGCTGAATTCCGAAGGGGCAGAGTACCTCGAGACCAAATTGCTATCATGCGCTGGATTATGGAAAAAGCCAGAGAGTTCCAGAAAAATATCTACTTCTGCTTCATTGACTATGCAAAAGCCTTTGACTGTGTGGACCACAACAAATTATGGCAAGTCCTTAAAGAAATGGGAGTGCCTGACAACCTTGTCTATCTCCTGAGAAACCTATATGTGGGACAGGAAGCAACAGTTAGAACTGGATATGGAACAACTGATTGGTTCAGAATTGGGAAAGGAGTACGACAAGGCTGTATATTGTCCCCCAGCTTATTTAACTTATATGCAGAATGCATCATGCGGAAGGCTGGACTGGAGGAATCCCAAGCCGGAATCAAGATTGCCGGAAGAAATATCAACAACCTCTGATATGCAGATGATACCACTCTGATCGCAGAAAGTGAGCAGGAATTAAAGAACCTTGTAATGAGGGTGAAAGAGGAGAGTGCAAAAAACGGCCTGAAACTCAACATAAAAAAAACTAAGATCATGGCCACTGGTCCCATCACCTCCTGGCACATAGAAGGGGAAGATATGGAGGCAGTGACAGATTTTACATGATCACTGCAGATGGAGACAGCAGCCACGAAATTAAAAGATGCCTGCTTCTTGGGAGGAAAGCAATGGCAAACCTTGACAGCATCTTAAAGAGCAGAGACATCACCTTGCCAACAAAAGTCCGAATAGTCAAAGCTATGGTTTTTCCTGTCGTGACGTATGGAAGTGACAGCTGGACCATAAAGAAAGCAGACCGCCGAAGAATTGATGCCTTTGAATTGTGGTGCTGGAGGAGGCTCTTGAGAGTCCCCTGGACTGCAAGGAGAAGAAACCTATCAATTCTAAAGGAAATCAACCCGGAGTGCTCACTGGAAGGACAGATCCTGAAGCTGAGGCTCCAGTACTTTGGCCATCTGATGAGAAGAGAAGACTCCTTGGAAAAGACCTTGATGTTAGGAAAGTGTGACGGCAAGAGGAGAAGGGGACAACAGAGGATGAGATGGCTGGACAGTGTCTGCGAAGCAACCAACATGAAATTGACACAACTACGGGAGGCAGTGGATAATAGGAGGGCCTGGGGTGCTCTGGTTCATGGGGTCACGAAGAGTCGGACATGACTAAACTACTAAATGAACGAAACGATCTGGAAAGACAGGCTGCTTCACTTCAATGACACCTCGTATTTAAAACAGTAGAATAAGAGATTTTGCTCTCCAGATGACAGCTTGACCTATCTTAAGTAGTTTTATTGTCTGCTTTTTAATTCAGGTTCTCACACTGAGGGGCGTCTTTAATAAGGTTTAAAAGATAAAATCTTTGTTTTTCTAGATAAACTGTTGACTTTAAAGATCAAATCTCAGGTTTAGAATATTAAAAGCTGAAGGATGTCTTGTTGCATTCACTCAATAAGTTACAGTACTTGAATCTGAAAATAGCCATGTTTAAAGAAATAATTATGGCTAGTCATCTGGCAGTACTCTAGCCTCAAAAGGCAAAACTGTGTTAGAAAAGTCAAGTTGAGAACTTACTAGGGCCTGTGCAAAACAATTCTGATATTGTGTGCTAATGTTGATAAAAGGAACTCCTAATCATGCTCCTTCAGAATCCAGGAGAAAACAGCTTGAGAAGTATGTCCAAACTGCAGTTCTGTGCTTTGGTGTGGGATGTCAAGGAAGAGCATTCCACTTTTCAAGCAGTTATTGACACAGGGAGTTAATAGAACTAGTTTGGACTAATGGAAAAATAGGGTTCTGTGTTAGCATTCTGATGGCACCTTACTCCAAATTGTAAATTTTCCCAGTGACTTCAAGTTGCCAGTTATGTAACATAGAGTAAATCTCAATGAGACGTAGTAATTTAATTCTGCTGAGCTTCCTAGTATCTCTTTTGGATCCCCTCACCTTAGCATGGTAAAATAATGTAAAATTATGTGTCCTGTTCACAGTCCACAAAGTCATTTTGGATGGTACCATGATTCATCATCAGCAGCAGCATCTTAGAACTACAGAGCTGGAAGGGACCCTTTGGTTCACTGAGTCCAGCCCCTTTCAGGGGGGCAGTGGGGAATTGAACTCTCAATCTCTGGCTCAACAGTCAGATACCTAAACCACACTTCTGCTACTGAAGCTGAGAAATGACAAAGAATCAGCAAAGTGCACTTTCTTTGTTTGTCTCAGCCCCTAGCTCTGGAAGAAGGCAGGTTGAATTGGATTTAAATAGTCTGCTTTTATCCAGATGCAGCTGGCATTATCTATCTCCTGTCCACTGAAGTAACTTGGCCACAATGGAAAGGGCTGTCCCAAGTGAATAGTGTAATTTCTTCCCCAGTTGTGAACAGATAAAGAAGTGCCCCAATTAATTTATCTAGGAAAGGAATAAAATGCAAGTTTGCTTTCAACATAGAAAGAGAAATGTGATGTGACCTCCACTGACTACTGTCCTCTTTTTAAAAAATTAAACTTGTATTGTTGTCCCTATTCTGAACCTTAAATAATCCGTAATTTTTCATACATATCGGCAGAGTTTCATAGAATTGCCGTTAGAAGCTTAGGCTAGATTTAATCTATTAAAATTCCAAAAGTGTCTTGAACTCATAATAGAGTGATGATTTATTCATGTTTAAATTTATTTTCTCCAGCTCACTGCCACTTTGCGAAACCTGGTTGACTTGTCTCAGTCAAGGTGCAAACTCCTGGAATATGGAGCAATTCTAGACCTTTGCCTGATGCTGGAGAAACGTATGAATGACAAGGATATATGTACCAATGTGGCCAGAATTTTCAGGTAACTCACTTTTGTTTTAAAGCGCTATATTGTTATTGTTGAAAAACTGTCAACAGCCACTTCTGTATCTGTTGAAGCCATTGGTTGACATGTATTTTGAAAGATTTTGTATTACATTCTAGTGTTCATGTGGGCACTTTAATCACTGAAAGATTGTTTGGGCCTTCTTTTAATGTATGGTGGGCAATCTCAGGCAAATTGGGGGCTAATTTTTTTGCCCCCAGCCCTACTTTTCGGCCACACTTTTAAATTTACGTATAAAAATGTAAATAAGAAATGCTTGGATGGACATTTCTTTTCGTTTTCATTTTTCTAGGGATGGAAACATTGGGGAAAACTCTTCAGACAACTAAGATATTAAATATTGCTACCTGTGTTTTTCTCCCTCCCCTAGAAACAATCATTTGTTTGGGCGTTACAAAGCATGTAAAATATTCAGAGAGGTGTTTCATTCCTGTCCCACGTTTATCATCACTTCTGTAGCCCATCTACACTCTGCTGTTGTTTAGTCGTGTCTGACTCTTCATAACCTCATGGACCAGAACATGCCAGGCCTCCTGTCTTCCACTGCCTCAAAGAGTTGAGTCAAATTCATGTTGGTAGCTTCGATGGCACTGTCCAACCATCTTGTCCTCTGTCCTCCCTTTCTCCTCTTGCCTTAACATTTTCTCAACATCAAGGTCTTTTCCAGGGAGTCGTCTCTTCTCATGAGATGACCAAAGTATTGGAGCCTCAGCTTCAGGATCTCTCCTTCCAGTGAGCACTCAGGCTTGATTCCTTCAGAATGGATAGGTTTGTTCTCCTTGCAGTCCAGGGGACTCTCAAGAGTCTCCTCCAGCATTACAAAAGCATCAGTTCTTCAGTGTCAGCCCTCTTTATGGTCCAGCTCTCACTTCCATACATCACTACAGGAAAAACCATAACTTTGACTGTGTGGACCTTTGTCGGCAAGGTGATGTCTCTGCTTTTTAAGATGCT